ATTTGCTTATGCACACGTTTGTCATCAGTGACCATATTGGGAAGGTGGGCACCCACTGATATGATTCTTTGTTCTTTGATGTCTGATAACTGGTCCCTTCTACACCTCGTGGTCAGGCAGGCTGGTGTGCTTCTTCCATGTGGGCTTTGATACTTCTCAGTTCCTCTCTAGATGTAACTATCTGCTTACATGTATGAAGGGGGTATTCCCCCTCCTACCCCCAAATTATACTGGGCAAAGCAAGGCTTTTGTAGTATGCATTTTCCCTGCTAGGTGATCATCCAGTAACTTTCTCTGAGTTAGTGCACCCAGTGCTGTCACCTGGGAAGGTTCTTTCTGGTCACAATGATTTTTTTTTTAAAGCAGTTTTGTTCCAATCTCATATTTTGTGATGGCTGATTTACGCGAACAGCCTGCGGCTCTGAAATTTTTCTTCCTGCTCGAGAAAAATGCTGCAAAACTGCAGTGATGTTGAACATAGCTTACAAGGACAGCACTATAGGGAATATTCAAGTGTAATTGTGGTTTTCTCATTTTGGAAAAGGTGAAATGTCGATTGATGACAGACCTCATTCTGGAAATCCATCAGCTTCCCTAACGAATGCGTCTTACTCACCTAATCTTGCTCCATGCAACTTCGTTCTGCTTCTGAGAATGCAGAGGGACATGAAAGGACAGCGGTCTGATAACATAGAAGAGGTGAAGAGGAAAAAAAGAGCGAAGGAGGTGCTGTCAGCCATCCAAACAGATGAGTTTGAAAAATGTGTCCAAGAATGGACTCGCAGATTTGACAAACGTATTAAGCATAATGGACAGTACTTTGAAGGTGATAAGGTTGTTTTGTTACAAACTTTAAATACATACATAGCCTTGAAAAACATTTTTGGTTTTAAACAAGCCCTCGTATATAGGCATTGACTAAAGCACAGAAGTGAGTTAGGAGCCCTGGTGGCAGAATGGCTTATCAGTGGGGTTGCTAACTGCAAGAGCAGAAGTTTGAACCCTTCATCTGCTCTGAGGAAAACAATGAGGCTCTCTGCTCCCATCAAGATTTATAGCCCAGCTCTGTATTGTTGGAAGGTTGAAATAAAGCAGTAAGATGATTTTGGGAAAAAAAGCATTGCCTTACAAACCCAAAGGGGCAATGTTAATTTGCCATTTAGGGTTGCTTTGTACAAAAAACCATGCCCTAAGGTTGAGGAAGATTATAACTAGCTCTTTCGGCCAAAGATGCAAAAACTCCTTTTCCCTCTTAACTTGAATTGCTTTTTTTTTTTTTTTTAACTCTCCATAGCTTTACTATTGACCCAGAGCCTGCAGCAAT